TATCTTGTTTTTTCACTGTTTATCTTATTACCGATACTAATAAAGTAAAGTAAAATATATAACATCCGTTCTCTATAATCAACGTTCCTGAAGTCTGAAAGAAGGCACCTCCCATGCTTTCCATGCCGTTTGGGGCAGAGTCAGACCTATCGCTAAAATCTCTCATCAATGCGAATCCATCCTTTGTTTTCCGAAAAATACGAGCAATGCATAGGAGGAGCGCATCAGTGAGGAAGACGGAGTGTTAGGCCTGACTCCGCCCTTACAATCAGCATAGTCTGTGCAGTGGAGAGTTCAAATATTCAAAGATTTCAGAAGATCTGGTTAACGACTTACTTTCTAACTTGCTCGATTTGTTTCCAAAGTTTGATCGCAGCTACGGAAAAGTTTTGAAGAACAAGACGTGTTTTCAGTACCAGAGAGGGCAGCTCTGAATCCGAGTGGATATTCGAAACCATACTCGAGCTGAAATATTGCCTGTGTTACAGTTGGGAAACGCTCATAAAGAAACAAAATTTGTTTTAATAGGATAAGATCTCAATAGACTCATTTGGTTTTTACTTGTCACAAAATCTCAGTCTTTTCCGACTTTTTTTAGCAAAAAAAATGGTTTCGTATAAATCCCGCAACGTCACAAGTCTTTCACTAGGAGGCTGGCTGCAGTATCAGCGGCGCTGGTGCTTATCGCTCTTCCACCAATGACGTATGAACTGCTGCCCCGCCCCTTAGTCGGCAGACCTACTGCCTCTAGCAGTAAATAATAAGATTTCAAACAAATTATGCCAAAGTAAATAGCTATGAAAGAAGATGAATTGCATGTTTCTCTTACCTGAGTAAATTCATAAATAGAACATCTTCCGACAGTGCAAGACCCATGTTGGAAATCGCCTGAACAGTGAACTCTGAGTGGAATAAACTGATTTTAAAAGGTTAACAGCTTTGGAATCATCTTCATGTGGATATAGTGTTCCTTCCCTATGGACAAATACTAGTATATTTTTCAGAAATACTCATACAATCCCCTCCTAAGAAAAGAGTTCAGTAGCTTTGGGTGTCCCTCTATGTGTTTTTCCCATCACAAAGGCGTTGTACAGCTTAGGGTGACGTTCTCTGGTCAAGTCAAACTCACCGACGAGTTGCCGACAAATTCGGCAAAGTTGTCACAGTGGCGTGAAAATCGTTGAAACATCGACGGAAATTTCAACAATGGTGTGGACGTACCCGAACATCGCTGAAATGAGAAAATTTCAAAAATTCGAAGTGGAAATGAATTCACTAGAAGCTTCATATTACAAAAAAGCGTTGAGGCGCCTCAATACTTCTTATTTCTAAACCAATGGATGTGATGCAGTTGAGATCCTCAAATGTTAGAAGAATTAAAACGGGTATGTGACAAGAGAATCGTAATTCGCCGCGCCAGTGAGAGTCGCGTGCGACGTCGTGTCCTTCAATGACGACGATTCTAGGTCATATTGATCGAAAATAGACATTGTATGACCAAAACAGCCATAAATGTCCGCGATCCTGGTCCACATGAAGTACGATGCTCCAGTCGTAAGGGTAATGCAAATTAAGGAAACGTCGCGCCCATCGCCGCGTGCGACGAAGCGGCAGACTACGATTCTCTTGTCCGTCTCTCGAATTAAAGACAGCGCCCATGACTGCTAATGACGTTTGTAGGGCTGTGAGTCAGTACTTCACGTCAAAAGCGGGATACTAGGGAAAGAAAAAAGTAAAATAAAACATCGAAAACGCTCTAAATAAGAACCCTGTTGGTTCTGAGCATGAACACTATATGGGCTTTCGGCACAAAGAGACTGAGTGACAAGGAGATACAGATAGATCATGGTGACAAACCCTGCCCCTTCCACTTCTCCCCTCCCCCTCACCAAAGTAAAGGAGTGCAAAAATGAATGTGGAGCTGAGCAGTGACTTGACAATGATGGAACCAGCGAAAAGGAGGGCCAAAATCGCAAAATAAGGAGGTTCACAACCAAGAGATTCGATCACCTCGCTGATTTTTCGCTGCCGTTTCGCAACATGCGGAACATAACATCGGCTGTAGAGATCAGAGTAGACATCTGAGACTCGTTGACAAATCTGCCTGGAAAATTTTGCCTTGAGAGAACCGCTTCAGTGAATGAAATAGGTGAAAAAGAAGGCGCTTTTCGGCGACGGGGGGCATTCTGCACTTTCGCTTCTTCCCATTGACGTGTCGACCCATCTAGACAGCGAGTTGACAGGTTTTACCATGATGGCTTGACGAGCTTGCTCCAGCTTTCCAAGAGTTCACAGGTTTCACCAGAGTGAGACTTGTAAACCGGAACTAGTGAAGCAACGAAAGTGCAAAATGCCCCCCCCCCCCGTCGCCGAACTGCGCCGAGAAACAATTCTCAACTGACATTCTATCGACGTTGTCTCGTTCGTAGAGAGCTTTGAATAGTGACGAATACATGTAAAGATCAAAATGCTCTTCTTTAGCCACCAACCGGCCTTTGTCACAAATCTAAATAATAAGGCATTGTCACGACCGAATTCCTTTTTTTTATTGAGATTT